TGTCGGTTCACACCCCATCACAAGCCAGCAAAACATCCACGAAACAAAGAAAGGTCTGTCACAGCCAAAAAATACACTCCAGACACGCCGCTGGCACTAGAGGCACAGCATGGCCGCCTGGTAACGGCCCCGACCACTGCCGCTCAACCTGACCGGAAAGAACCGTAGCAGGAAGCTAGCGAAGTCGTAGTATATATCGTCACAAACAGACTATATATATCGTCATATATATATTCATATATATATCGTCACAAACAGAACTGCCCGGTAAACCGTAGGCAGAGAGAGAGAAGAGGACAACAAACGAGAGGCTGTGACATATTGTCACAAAATATCAGAGCGCAAATGCGGAAAAAAAAGGAAAAAAAAGAAGAAAAGAAAATTGAATTCAATTTTTAATCTTCTTCCTTATAACTCCCCCTGTTCAGAACCTCTTGCGTACAAGGCCGCCCACGTGGATGTAGGTTGAGCGGCGGCTGCCCCCACCCCCGTGTGTCATACTGACCCACTTGCACACAGCCAAAAGGCAAAGAGGCAAAGAAAAGAGGAAGGGGACAGCCAAATACAACAAAACAGGGAGAGACAAACATAAACCAATCCTAGATGACAAGTCCCACATGCAAGCACCGCCCCCACCATCAGGGCCAAACAACGGGACTAGACCAACCAGGATTCAAAGCATCCTTGCCTGCAAACAAAAAATCCCAGATAACATACCTTTCGTGCGCACCAGCTCCAAGAATCCTTTGCGATTGATTTTATTGTTGTTGTTGCAAAAATTGATACCGACTCAAACTGTCAAGTCACCGCTTCGCTGGTCTAAACTAAATTACTGGGACAGCATTGACAACAAGAAAAAACATAAAGGACAATCCTAGATGTCGATTCCCACAAAAAAATATATAACTTCGGTAAAGAATTTTGATGTGACCTTGAGGCAAAAGTTGTTCAGTTTATTTTTCTGCATAACATCTTAATCCGAAAAAAAAAAAAAACTATGCAGAAAAATAAACTGAACAACTCTTTACTTTTTTTTTCTGCTAAGCATTGAAAAACCTAAAAATCACAGCGTGTTATCTCCAAACGTGAGTTTCTACCACGACTATCAGGCGACCAGAGAGAAAAAACTACAAATCATTCATAAACGTCAACTCTGAACAACAGAAGACAAACCAATGAAACCATCACCTAGAATCCATCATCCATAAAATCCATCACGAAATTGAGGGAACCAATTACCTAATATGTAGATATCCAAGCAACAGATACAGATGGTTACGAGAGGAATAGTGAACCGTCCTAGGCGCAAAGCCAATACCTAAATCCATCAAAGGTAAAATGAAATCACCCAGAATCATCAGCGTGTGCTCCCAAAAGACGAGCACTAAGAGTCGCTGGAGACTTCAATGGTGCTTCGCACTGTCCTCCCATGCCACTCCCACTGCCACCGTTGGCTCTCCCACTGCCGCGTAATTGGTTCTCAATTTTACCGCTCGGTGGTGTACTCAGCCGAAAGATGTGACCGAATACAAGTCTCTTCTCCGCCTTTGTAGTCCTGGTTGCACCTCCGCGACCAGGAATAGACTTCAACGGTGTCCATCACCCCAGGAAGCCTGATGTTACTGAGAGTGATGGCCCCTCCCTTGGGGCCGAGCGCCCATTTGGTGTGAGAAAGGAGCCTCCCTTCAAGCTCGAGGCTTAAGGAGAGGATGGCTCCTCCGGTCTCAAAGACTATCAGGTATAGAACATGTATAGACATGGAGGTCGGTCGATTAGGTTTGGTACAGTATAGAGGTCTGGTACAGGGCTGCCAGGGTGACCTGGCACAAGGAAATGTGCACTCTGGTATGAGGTTGCGAGTTCAAAACCCCTCAGCCTTGCGCATGGACACCGGCAGGGCGTTAGAATTTATGGCTGGACACACACCCCCTTGGGCTGACGCATGGTAAGCTATTACAGGCACTCCCTGCGCACCACCCAAGGGTTGTCCACGGTGTTGTATGTCGGGTCATGATACTGCGTCGTTGCTAGTGCTGTTGCTTGTGGTTGTTCTGTTGATTTCCCCAGTCTGGCATATGACACAGGCACCATTTGCGACTGTTGCTCAAATGGTAGAGTCTTCAGGTCAGATGTCATAGATCATGGGTTCGAGTCTGGCTTGGGACTTTGGGGGGCTTCTTGCCCAGCTTGGCCTGTCATCTCTTCAACGAACACGTAGTTCCCTCTACATAGTACTGCACATATCTGGCCTTCGGGCACATACATCTCGCTATATAGTTACACAGAGCACACATAGCCTTCGTGCAGACACAAAACATGGCTCATGAATAAATACACATAGCCAACGGGCTCATACAAACATACATAGCCTCTGGGCACACATATACACACAACTATGATACCAGGCTGGGGGGTCTATCAGGTACATGACGGGGTCTACTCACACATGGCTTAGCTCTAGGGTAGGGTAGGGATATAAGTCACTCCGGCTAGTCTGAGTTCTGCCTAGCCTTGGGTAAGTTAGAGGAAGGAAGCTTGCCTTGCCAAGGCAATCCTGCTGGGTAGACTCTCTGAATTGGGCCTGTAGAAGATTGCAAGAGCCTGGCGTCCAAAGCTCCCGGACGGCAAGGTTCGTCCGCTTCCGCTTCCACTAAGGCTGGGGGGTTGGCCCAGCCCTGGTGCTTGTCACTGCTGTCTGGTCAAAGTTGCCCTCGATAATGGTAGGGCGATGGTCCTGAGTGCTGGTCACACTGAGGTAGGATAGTAGGGACAGGGGGTGCGCTGGGAGTGTTAATGTGGGGATGGTTAGGGTACGGGGCCTATCCTGTGAGGACAACCATTGGCCCCAAACCCACGCCAAACTAGTAACCCAAACCCTAACGCCCACTAGTAACCCAAACCCACGCCCGCTGCCAGCAATCACTGCGGGTCTGATCCTTGGCCTCTACAACACCCTGGGCTTTATATATTAAAAAAAAAAAAAAAAGAAGAGTGCAAAGGCACTCCCTAACCCACTCAAGGGCTACGCTGCGCCAAGACACTTTTGCCATAGCTCTCACACAGTTATGGTGCCGAGCAGGGTAAGCGCCACGTGGGAAGAATTAGCATGCCCACACTGCCACAACCAGCGACCGGGCACTGCCACCTAATGCACTTTTCACGTGGCCCCTTCATTTCATGGACCCCAACTGAACCAGTTTTGCCTCAGGTTCACATCGAAATTCTTTACCAAATTTAAGTAAAATTTAAAAAAAAATATATATATATATATATATATCGTCAAATAGAACTGCCCGGTAAACCGTAGGCAGAGAGGGAGAAGAGGACAATATATATATATATTTTGATTATATCATTATTTTTTATTTTACTTTTTTTTTTTTCTTTGTCCTGGCCGGGCAAGTGGTCCCGGGCCACTCTGGTAGCCTAGGATTTTTTGGACTTTTTTTTTTTTTTTTTTTTTTTGCTGGGACCTTCCCTGGTCCTTGCACGGGCAGGCCGCCTGCGAAAACAAGGTGACCCGGGCGGCCTGGCTGGTAGCCTAGGTAAAAACGAAAAACCAGGTTTACCCTAAAGGGTACCAACCAGGGAAGGTCCCAGAAAAAAAAAAACAGAAACAACTTGCCTGGCCGGGCCACTTGCCTGGTAAAAACAAAAAATCCTCGGCTACCAGAGGGGCCCGGGACCACTTGCCTGGCCGGGCCAAGGAAAAAAAATATAAAAATATGTACATAACTAGCTTGATTTTCCGGGTGCCCGAGCTTCCCATTGTGTCTCTGCTGGACGCGACACAGTAACCCGCTTTTTTGTTTACAAATTAATTTAACAAAAAAACAGAAAGAGAAGAAAAACTGGGCTTACCTTCGGTATGGTGACTCGACAACAATGTGCAGACCTGCAGTTTCATCAGGCTATGTCATCTCCGAGACTGATTCTTTTTCAAAGTTGTTTTCAATGGACCATTCTCAGCATTCGGACCATTCCGGTCAACATGATACTACCAGTAGCGCGATCCAAATCCCCTTTTTTTACATGAGGGGGGGGGAGGGGGGGAGGGGGGGAGGGAGGAGGCTACCGGGATTCTTAACCCCCCTCTTTTACATGAACTAAGATTAAAAATCATTAAATCATTAAACCACCAGTACTTCCGAGCCACTTTTGCCTGGGGCTCCAAACGCCCTGCGCACCAGTGAAAAAACGAACCAGCACGCTGAGCACGGGCCTCATATTGCCTGGCGCTGCCAACCATTTTGCTCCCGCTGCCGACCCCCGAAAGGTGTAGCAGCATGCAAGGCGCGTCGGAGAAAATGGCTGGGAAATGTACTGGTGGTTTAAAGTTTAAAGTTTAAACCATTCAAATTCCACATCAATTTTTTTTTATTAAAAATTAAAACAAAAAGAAAAAAAGAGAAGAAAAACTGAGCTTACCTTTGGTACGTTGAGCCTACAACATGCAGGCCTGCAGTTTCAGCAAGCTGTGTGAGCTCGGAGAGTGATTCTTCAATGGACCATTCTAACCATTCTTGCTTTCCGTTGTTTTTCTGCTCAATGCCGATCAAGTATGCCCTCTCCTCAAAAACCTGCCACACAAATCTCCACAACGACAATGGAGTGGCCCAGAAGGACAGACTCCTCCTCCTCAGGGTAACTTGGGGAAAAGAAAAAAAAAAAGGAGGAGAAAAAAAAAGGGCAGCCTGACTGTCTTTTCGCGTACATCTTCCAAAAGGGCACAATCTTCTCCGTTAGGCTTACCTTCACACACACACACACAAAAAAAAAAAAAAAAAAACTTAAAAAAAGAGGAAAAGGGGTTGCTCAACTGTCTTGACATTCAGCACGTACCAGCAAAAGGGCCTCGCTCCACTACTCACCACAACAAAAATGACAAAAAACATGTCGGTGTATTTCCGTGTTCTAGAGAAAGATTCATTCTCATTTTGCACATTTGGTGAGTAGTGGAGCGATGCCCAAAGAAAAAAAAATCAAAACATCTTGAGATGCAAGAGCTCACCGCAGAGTCGCGCAGAGTCGCAGACTAATCATCAATAAGCCGAGTCGAAAGCCAAATGACAGAGCCAAGAGAGCATGCCAACCCAAGACCACACTGACACGGCCGAATCACTTGCCTTTTTTGTTGTTTTTTTTCAACGAAAGCTCTCTTCGTGCGTCCAACACTCAATACAACAATAGCAATGTACTCTCTCTCTCTCTCTCTCTCTCTCTCTCTCTCTCTCTCTCTCTCTCTCTCTCTCTCTCTCTCT